CCTTATCTTCTTAGTCATAATTAATAAAATCAAGGGATTGTTGAACATATACCTCTTTTTCGATAACTCCAATAAAAAATATTGATTTAACATTTATTTGTAAAAAAATTATTTCATTTGAGCTATTAGGGAGATAAGTAATATTTTTATCTCTAATCAAGCAATTAATGTGAATGCTTTTTTATAACCAATCCCATATTGTTATTTTTATCTCTTTACAACTAATTGAACCTTATATTTCTCCACCTCTCATTATGTAATTTTTTTTTTAAAGATCCACTTAACACTAATTGCTTGATGGTCTTCTGAAAGTATAATAAACTCCCATATATCATTATTGTTAATAGCATGAATTTTCTCATTTATAGCTTGTCACTATTTTTCTTCTCTACGAGTTTCTTCAAAAACTAATAGATATATTCTATAAAAAGATAAAATAAAAAAAGTTCATCATTGTTAGTATCAATCCTTCGAGTTACATCATATAACTCTTAAATCGTTCTTGTCCTTCTTACAATCAGACTTCTTGAATCATGTGACCTAGTTGATCTAGGTGATGATTCAAGCAAAGACTCTTTGATACTTGTTTGTATTATATCATCATCTTCTGAAGCTGTAGCTTTCTTATGCTACTGATCACTTTTCTAGTTCTAAATCTATCATTCATTAAGTTTAAATCTCTTGACATTATAACTTTATTTATGATAGGATTATAGAGTTTGTAACCACTAGAATTCTTGACATAACCTAACAAGATGCATTTCTGATTTTTATCCTTAGGATTTGTTATCTTTTCTTCTAGTATTTTAGCAAATGTAATGCTTTAAAAAATTCTCAAATAATTGACTCTTGGTTTATGTAAGATTCATACTAATACAACAATACTAATTTACCTTGTTAGAATTATGATAAACAAATAAACTACACAAGCAATAATGTCTCCCCAAAATAATTTTTAGGAATTCCTCTTTCCTTTAACATGCATCCAACCATATTAAGTATAGTCCTATTTTTTCTTTATAAAACATCATTTTAATGAGGTGTGTATGGTATGATGAATTGATATAAAATTTTATTATTTCTATAAAAACTTTTAAATTTATTTGATATGTATTTACGATCCCATATGTTCTTAAATATTTAATCTTACAACTATTTTAGTTTTCAACTAAATTCTTAAATTATTTAAATTTACTTTAATTTTTTTTAATATATAAACTTAAGGTAAGGAAATATCTGCTTCCTCCAAGTGATACTGGACTAATAGGGCTACAAACATTACCATGCTTTTTTTTGTTCTTCTGACTTTAAAAGATTTTCTTTCTTACTTACTCATGACACATATTTCATATAACTTTGATGGATAATCAATTTTTGATAATCCTACCATCATAGTATATTTTTCTAGAAGTTTTAAAGTCTCAAAATTGAAATGAGTATATCTAAGATGTCATAATGTAGAATTATTCTTAATATTAGTTTTAAAATAATTTGATGGATAAAAAATGTGTAAATATAGAGAAAATATTTTATTCTTCATTATTTTCACATGTGAGATTAATGATTTATTCTTGTCATAAATTAAGAGAGTCATATCTCTCATCTTAATATCATAACCTTTTTCAATTAATTACCCTAAGCTCATAATATTTTTTTTTTCATATCAAGAACATGATAAATATCTAAAATACATATTTTTTTTTATCATTATTAAGTTTTTAAAAAAATTATCTTTACCTCTTATTGGTCTATGAAACCGATCACCAAATATAATATTACTGGAATAACTTATATCTATTTTAAAAAATAATTTTTTGATATCACACATGTGATTTGAACCTCTTTTATCTAGATGCCATGTTATAGATTAATCTTCTTTCAAATTATCATAAGTTATTAGTAAAACATATTTTCGTTCTTATCTTTTTTTTAACAAAATTTACTTTATAATCTTGACTATTAGGATTATAATAATATTCAAAGGAATAGTGTCCATACATTTTAAAGATAATGTAATATTTCAAACCTTTTAGAATTTTGTGACATCCATGGCCTCGACCTCTTTGGCTAAAATTTTCTCTATCACCTTTATTATTTTGAGATTTTTTATTGGTCTGATTTTTGCTACTTTTTCCTCTTTATCTATGACCTCTTAATCTTTAAGATTTTGATTCACTTTTATTTTTAAGAGAAAGCTTGGTTTGTAGTGTTTGTTTTATAAATTTTTCTTCTCTTCTTTTTATAAGTCTTTATTTATGAGCTTGAAAAGAACCCATTAGTTATTCTAAAGATATTTATTCTAAATCTTCAATCATTATAATAATAAAACTTTAGATCTAAATATCTCAATATTTTTTTTATTACTTCTTGATCACTTATTTGTTAACCATTTCATCTCAATTAATGAACAATAGACATGATTTTTTAGAAGCACTTTACTATAAACTTTTTAACTCAACTCATAAAACTTATAAATAAAGCCTTTTCACCAAATACTTTTTAAAGTATTTTCTAAGTCTCTTTTGAATATTTGCTAGAGCGATGGTCTCGAATATTGTATCATCAAACCCATGATAAATCATGAGTAAAATTTTTTTCTCCCTCTTTTTTTTTCAGTTATTTTTTATATTTATTGCTCCTTTTTTTATTGGACTTGGTTCAACAAATATATCTTCTACGAATTCTCATGCATCTTGACAACTTAAAAGGACCTTTATTTAGATACACTATACATCATAATATTCTTTTCTCAATATAGGAATTCCAAGTTAGATGGTGCTCGAAGAAGATATCATAGTTTAACTTGAGATTTAATACTAAATATTAAACTAAATAGATAGAAGAAATAGAACTATCATACAAAGCAAAAGTAAGACAAGACAAAATATTTCATGTTTCAGTCAAAACACTAACTTCAAAAACTCTTTATCTTTCATAACCCAGGTTTATATAGTCCATATAGATATATTATATTTATTATATTTAATATGAATTATTCTTTTAATTCTAAGAATTTTTTTAAGAATTAATAGTTAATTTGATTTATTCTTTTATAAGCATTTAATATATTTTACCTCTTAATACAATTCAGTATCAGTATGATACCTCGACAAACTTAATTATAACATGAAGGTGTATATATATGCTTTCTCATTACTGTTAACAATATTCATAATTTGGCTGTACGAAGGAATTTAAATATGATAACTCTGTCAAGATTGGCAGCTAAATTTCTAGATAGAATGCAATCTAAATATGGCTGATTATTAGATTTCTGTAGTGATCCAATGCCAACTATTAGAAGGCAAATAAAGCTTTTCTATAGTTCACTATGACATATTCCAATTACATCTGTCTTCAAGTTCTTTGTTGAATTGGTATCTGCTTTTAGCAGTTATGTGCAGACTCTGACTGGGAAACATTTCATTCTTTACCACGTACTTAAGCTGCAGAATTCAGCACCATCAGAAAGGGATGCAGTGCTTAATACTGTAGAACATGCCAAGTGTTGTTCATGGGACTGAAACGGGCACATCATTCATGTTCATTCCTAATTAATCATATCATGTTTGTAATCATTCCTAATTGCTGTAGTGGCATTTGCAGTTTAATTTGATTTCAGCAGACTTTGTTCTTAGGAAAGAATGAATGATGTTTTCATCATCACTGCACAGGTATCTTGAGCATACTTATTTTGACACATATTCACATCTATATTATCTTTATTTTGACACATCGGATTGACGATCAAAATTGATGATATCAAATAACTCTAATATCAGAATATGTAATAATCAAAATTAATTATATCATGTTGGCTTTGATTTCATGTTGCAGTGAAGAAACATAATACAAGAATCAGTTTAGTATGTTCAGACTTCAGACTGCATTCTTCTGCATCTTAAAGACCAGTAACATACATGTACATAAGTCCATCTTTTTTACAGATAAATATCCATTAATTTGGTTCATTATTGATAATAGTTCAATCAAATCTCCAGCTACTAAGATCATAGTCAAAATCCCAATCCTTTCATGAGTGTTGGATGAACACAGATCTTACTTTCTGGAGAACACAGCCCACAGTATTGGATCTACCACCTGTGCCCCTTTTTCCTCCTCAAGGAACATTTTGCATGGATGAGCAGTACGAAAACATCAAGCAGAGGTACATATTACAGCCACCACCAAAAGAAAAAGCCACAGAAGTTGCCGAGATGGGAAGAAATGTACAAGAAAATAGTTTGCCCCACCACATGGCCGGCACACCGCCCATCGTCTGACTTTGGATTCCCAAAGAAAGCAGAAAAGGTTCGCTGGTGATTGCTGAATGAACGCATCCTGCTTGTTGGATTGTTCTTATTCTTCAGCTTTGTAAAACCTTTCTTATTTACAAACCACAGCATTGATGAATCTCTGATATGATCCTTATGATGTGAGTCGATTTGGTTCTCTTCACAGTGAAGGTGACAGCCGGAGAAAATGACACGTGGACTATCGAGTGTCATTTCCATGTCAAATAATCTTTTTTATTTGGAACATAAACAGAGTGCAGTTCTGTTGATGGTACATTTGCACCTCACGTGCAATGCATGTGCAATATCGAGAGTGTATCTACCCCGACTCCGTGTCTCTCCGTCACGTCGAACGTATCTCACAGTCTGTATCTGCGGCCTTAATCCAAGGTCGGGTTTCACATCAGTCTTCCCCATGTCCGACGACCCAAAACTCTACCGTCCGTTCCAACTCCGCCCCGATTAGTTGCGCAATTACGCAGCAAGTGGGACCGACGTCACGTGCAGCCGGACACGCCCTTCGGATTCGTACTCGTTGAGATCCAACGACTTGTACCGCATTCATATTCCTATGCGCTCTGCTTCTCGTTACGTCGACGGCTGAGATGAGATTCCTCTGACGAAAGGAACGGTCGATCTTAAGGTCCGCATATATATTTATTTGCTTATAAATAAATAAAAAAGAAAAAAAGGAAAAATGCTGTTTTTTCTGCCCCTTTTTTGCTCTCCTCGTCTAAGCATCGCCTCCCGCTTTCCCTTCTTCCTCCTCTTCTTCTTCTTCTTCTTCGTCGTCGGCGTCGTCGAGAATTCTACTGCCGAGATCGATCTCTTCGGGTTTCGTTCGGATCTCGAAGGCACGAGAGGATCCTTGAAGGCTCCGTTCCGGCGGGCGGCGCGGCGGTGACAGCGATGGAGTCGATTCTGGCGCGGGCGCTGGAGTACACCCTCAAGTACTGGCTCAAGTCCTTCTCTCGCGACCAGTTCAAGCTCCAAGGCCACACTGCCCAGCTCTCTAACCTTGGTTTGGATCCCTCGTCTCCTCCTCAAGAACTGGATCTTGAATAATCCTTAATTTAATTCCTCCTTGTTGATTGGGTTTCTTTGAATGGGATTTGATTGTTTAAGATATAAATGGGGATGCCCTGCACGCGAGCGTTGGGTTTCCGCCGGCGCTAGATGTGACCACTGCTAGAGTCGGCAAGCTTGAGATCACGGTGATCAAGATGGGGCCTTTACGATTTATATGTTTGGAATTGAGAGGTGAATTGTTGACTGGAATATTTGATTTATTGCTGAATTGTGGTTGTTGGATTTTTTTTTTTGGGTCCAGCTACCGTCTGTTTCAAATGTGCAATATGAGCCGATTCTGGTCCAGATCGACAGGCTCGATCTAGTTCTTGAAGAGAATGTGGACGCCGATAACTCAAAGAACCCAAAAAGGTGATATTTGGTTGTTTTAAGGCTTGAATTCTTGATCGATATGTTCAATCTTGGTCGAATTTTTCATGTTCCTCGTGTTTCTTGAAGTGCTCCAGCCTCAACTAGCTCATCCAAAGGCAGTGGATACGGATTTGCAGATAAGGTAAAGGCTCTAATTTGTTGGTTTCGTTTTTCTGGGTTATACTTTGGTTCTAGCATTATTTTGTTTGGTGATATTATGATCTGAGCTACCTGGTGTTGGTGATTGGTGATTGGTGGTTTGGTTTAAAGCTTAATGGAAGAATATTATGAAGGAAATTTTATGAGGTTTTCATGCCAAGATGGAATCTGGTCATTGTTCCTATTTGTTTGTGAACATGTGTCATCTCTTACTCTTGCCCTAGGGGAGCCTTTGGCCACACACAAGAAAGAACAAGGGAGAGAAGAAACATAAGAACAAGAAGTGGGAGAAATTAAAATATAAATTAATGAAGACAAATTGGCCTCCCTTTGTAGGAAGTGATTCTAAGTAAAATATATATTAATTTTGGCTGAAGGAAGGGATTCTAAGTAATTCTAGATAAGTATATGAAATTTGAAAAGAATCATGCACAATTGAGTTTCTTGCTTTCTGAGCTTCCCAATTGGGGGTCATATTTCTGAATTAAAATCAGCATATATTACATGGTTAGATTGATTTCTTGCCTTTTCGAGTTTGGTCAAATTGTTTCAGGATCCAGTATTTTTGACTCCCATGACAAGGAGGCTTTAACATTCCTAGCATACATAGATATCTGGAAGTGTAAGGAATTTGGTATGACTTGGTTGTAAAATCCGACATTGATGGTTTGGATCAAGGTATGTAATTTTGAATAATACCGTCCGGTACGTACCGGTTCGTCAGTTTACCGGTACACAGACCATCCCTTACTAGACGGAACCAAAAAAAAAATAAAAATAAAAAATAAAAAAAAAAATAATAAATATATATATATATATATATATATATATATATATATATATATATATATATATATATATATATATAT